ATTGTTGTAAATCTTTAAAGATTTTGATAAAATATATGCATATTTAAATTAAAACACATAACATTTAGCGTAGCAAAATTAACTCCTATGTTAAGGATTTTTACCTTTGGTATTAATTACAAGAACTTAATTTTGCTGGGGACAAATGTACCAGAGATAAAAAAGAAATAATTTGAATTTATGCATATATATAGTGAACTATATCAACATAACATATAGGCCAGGATGTCGGAGACTAACAGCATCGACTCTGAAAAAGCTCTAGTTCAAGTGAATTTTATCACTTATCCTTGCTAATAAAAGTAGTCCTAGTCTATTAATAGTATAAATTACCACCTACTGAAAATTTTAAATTAACCATGGAGACAACAAACAGTATTTAACCTCAAAAGGACATTGAAACAATACAAATCTAGAGAAGAACAAACAGTGGATCAGATGCCATGTAGGAGTATGCGTCCCCTTTCGACCGACCACCTGCTTTGTGATCCTTGTCATGATCGTGTAAACGAGAAAATCAGCAGGCAATGCAGCGAACATATAATAAACTAATTATAGGGTATGATAAACATCAGTCAGAATGTACTTAATGATAGATATTGTGCTTGCTATCAAGGCCATTGTATCGATCATAGAACCTAACTAATGATGGTTGTTAACAAGACTGTCGATCTCTCTCTCTCTCTCTCTCTCTCTCTCTCTGCGCGTGTGTATGTAGTGGTGATTCTCAGACGAGCATCATAGGAAGCAAAACAGGATAGTTAATTAAGCATTATTTCTACAAAGACTCAAGACTGATTACAAAACTAGAAATAATGCAGAATGTGTCATCAGTCACCAAGCTTCGAGGTCGTCAAGATGATTTGGGTAACCCACTTTTGTGCTTCTAAAATATGGATGCGTCAAAGAAAATATGCAATAAAATATATCATGCAAATCAACAACCTTTGTACATAAAAGCAAGTCATTGTTAGATGAGTCATTGTTAGATGCTTTTGCTGATGTTGAACATCGGAATAAACAATGGACCTATTTATTTCCTGGAGATCAATTTTCAAGATGTAAATTTATGTAAGTCATCAATAAAAATAGAATAATTGCATTGTCCTTAAAAATGAAATAAGAAATTCTGCTTCTTGTTAAGTACGATAAACCCTATGCTATGGACTTGAGATTCTGAAATTCTTTTTCGTTTTAAAGACAAGAACTTTGAGAAGCATTCTACTAACACATACTTAATACGAGGGCTGTTCAATAAATAATGTTCTGAACTGTATGACATACAATACAGATATCATATGACATTAAGCTCGACTTTTTCGCAGTATTGAATCTTTAATGAAACTATAACAATTTAATTGACCACTTTTCATCACATAGTTTCATTGTGAGAAGCTGGAAAACAAGGGCTATTCGAGACACTGCATGTAAAATGAATGGTAAAGAATCAGTAAACTAGAGTGAAATTAAACGTTTCATTCAAGCTGCTGTAAAACTCGTTAAGAATCCCAATGAAATATTCACTGAAATATGTTACATTTACGGCAACCAATGTCTGCTTTATAGACAAATGAGCAGGTGGATTTAAATGATAAAAATTATATAATGGGCATCAAAAATGAGTACCGTCCTTGCCAACAGAAATTATAACAACTCGTGTACTGTTTGCCAATTTTCAACAAATAATCACTGATGATGTATGATTCACTTTAAGACACATAGAAAATTTGATAGACATCATTTCGGGAGTAGTTCACACTGTTCTAAAGAAACGTTTGACAGTAAAAAAGCTCAGTACTCAAAGGTCACCCTAAGTTTTGAAAAATGAGTGAAAACGACAGCGTGTAAGAATATCTAAACAGTAACTTTTAAAAATGAAAAATTGTAGTTATCCAAGTTTGTCTGAAATTCAAACAGATAATGAAACTTGAATCTATTGCTTAAAACCCTCGAAACAAAATTTACAATAAGATGTACTTGACACTAATAGCAAAGGCCTGATGAAAGCAAAGAATTGCAAGAGCACAAAAACAGTTTTATTTGCAATTTCCTTATATATTAGTGGTCTTGTTGTTATAATTCGTATTCGTAGAGGTAGTTTAATTTCTGGAAGAGTCTAGAAAGCGATTTTTTTTGCAAAAAAAAAAAAAAAAAAAAATCAAAAGGTTAATGAGAGGAAGGAGCCAGAATCAAGAATCCTCGACATTAAATTTCTTCATGACACCGTCCAAACCCGCACGCCATGAATAGTAAAGGAGTTTTTGGGATAAACAGAAAGTGAATTTTTTCCACACTAACAATATTCGCCATATCTTTCGCCTTTTGACTTGTTTCATTTTCCAAACTTGAAAAAACACCTTTCAGAACGAAGAAACTAGTCCAGGAAATCATAAGATCTGCCATTTTCCAGTACACTAAGGGTCGTACCCAAAAATGAGTTCTTAAACAATCAAAAGTTGGATAAAAATTTTTATCGACATGGGTTTTAATTGAAAGAGAATATTAAGTTAAATTATTTAGACTAATTCATTGAAAAACGTATGTTGCTTCTTTCTGAGCACCGAGGACATTATTTATTGAACAGCCCTCGTAATTTAATAATTTTGACCTAGTCATCAAATACAATTTATCATTGAGTATTATTTATACACTGAATTTAGAACGGATTTTTCTGTTATTTCCCGATCATGACAAGGAGCACATTGTCAGTCAGCATTTGACGTAATGATAAATTGTACTTGCTGAAAAGGTCATTATATCGTCCATAGAACTTACGAATGATGACTTTAAACGAGACTGCTGATGTTCTTGTTTCATCAACTTGTCTGTCAATAATATTTACCTCGTTTTAAAATTGTTCATACATAGAGTACGTTCTTGCGTATCAAATTAACTGAGATATATAAATCCAGTTTGAAGGCGATGAAGTTATACCGGTATTGCTGTTTAGGTATAAGAAGTTCACGATTGAAAAGTTAAATAGGTTTAACAAATAGGTTGGTTGTTAGATTACCATTATCGTCTTTTTCTAGTAAAGTATCTAGATATGAAACCAATGTGTCAGACTCTGTGGTATCTTTTATTTCAAACTCACTGGGATATGTCCTATTAACATAAGAATGGAAATAGCCACTGTTAAATGTCGAATTGAGGGCCACAGCAAGTTTTTTTTTTCTTTTGACATAAGATTTTGGACAAATATCAACTTCAGAGTTGACTTTAACTTTAATTTTATCGCGCTGCCTGAATAGTTGTATAAAAAATTGAAAAGTCATAAGTTTTTATGCTGATGATTTTGGTAAAATTTTGTTATTTCTTATTTTCCAAACGTTTCTTGGATTTTTTACGTATCCACATTTAATTTACACCACTTCTCGGATATATTGTTAAACAGTACTCCTGAAGTTTACCCTCAACTACCGTTAATATTTTATTGAGGAGTAAAGAAAGAGGCTTGGTAGACTATCTACTGGAACCCGCCATATATCTTTGTAAGGAAAAACAATACATTTCTTTCGGGGTTGACAAAGATTTGATTTTATTTCAACGCTTGCATAAAAAATGTTCAATTTTCAGAAAAAGAATTAATAAGAACCATCTCCATTGTGACAACACAAAGCTTAGAATCTCTTGTATAGACTTTATAAATATATTAATAGGGGGAGTAGAATGCTTGAATATCGATTTGACCTGTGCTACTTTTACTGTTCTCGATGATAGTTTTAAAAGTAAATAAATATAAGTGGTATCTTAAAATCAACTGAATAAATCCAACATAAGTTGAGCCATTTAATATGAATCAATAGGTTTTTTTGGGACTTCTTTAAACCATCTTCATTTTATTACTTCAATCACTCTCATCAAGGTGGATTTGTACGATAGAAAAGTGAAGAAAATGAACAGTGGGTTATCTTAAAAACTCTCAAAGAAATTCAAATTTGTGAGTAGGGCATAAAAAAATGAAACGTTGGGAACTTTAGAAATGGGATCAGGTACGTTTGAGGAGTAAGCATCCCCTGTCTACTCGTCAAACCCGTCAGGAGCCCTATGTATTGAATATTGATCAGGGAGACGTCACTTTTCGTACTCAGAAATCAGACTTAGTATAAAACAAAGGCCCAATAAATAAATCAGCCAGAGTAAGACCAAATGATAGGTTATATATGCTAACATTTTCATTATAACTACCACAGAATCACGAAATGCTTACTGTACTTAAACAAACGAGGATATTGAAATCCTCGTGAGATATTTTTTTTCTGTACGTTTCCCTGCCTCGGATGAAAATGTGACCACACTCGGAGCATGCTATTAAGTACTGAATAAATTGGGGGATGTAAACCCAAGTACAGACGATAGAGGGATCTTCCTACATGAAGAAGAAAAGTTGACGATAGTAAAGCTGACGTCATCTCGTTTGTCATACAATGTTGGTGCTATTTGGCCCTTAACGAAAACATCGAAATATGTAGAACAAATGTTGCAGACTCTGTGATGTCTTTCATTTAAAGTTCACTGACAAATATGAAACTCACACAAATGAATGATTGAAAGTAACTATTGTTAAGTGATAATACATCGTCGATATAAATCTAGTTGACGAGTTGATGGCGACAGGATGTGTTTCCTTTCTCTCATTTGAAGTTTTTTTTTTTAATTAAAACATAAAAGTAAGTCAGCTTTTAAAGAAAATGTACCCCCCGGTAGTGCCCATTTCGTCATTTTATATGAATGTTTATGTAAAGTTTCAATAAAATTTTCACTTCTATTACTTTTTCACCTGATACTTCTAGAGAAAAAACTGACAGAAAAACGTATGAAATTGTTTAGTTTGATATATATTTTAATCTCCTACTTTTCGGGTGTTTGCTGCATTATTTTAACAACAACTAAAGAATTGGATCCCAATATTATACATATGTAAATAAAATACAGCTAGAAAATGCATTTAATAAAATTTATTGCACATTTAAACATGTTGTAAATGTTGTTTTTATAACACCTAATTTGTATAATTAAGTATCCACTATAATTAAGAAATCACTATACCGAATATCTCTCGAATAACCATTGCACTGCCTGTCTTTGCAGATATAAGTAAATTTTAAACTTTTTACATAAACATAAACAAATACTATAAGATTGACATAGATAAGAATTATGTCAAAGTACCGGTAGTCCAGAGTTGCCATGTAATGTACCTGAAGTGGTCTTAAAATCAACAACACACACGAATATAGTCTGAAGAGACCTGATTGTATCTTTTCCCATTGTCTGATCTCGTCACAGGATGGACAAGCATCTAAAAGAAATCCAGAAAGTTGGTTAGATTTGTGCATTAATTAATTCCACATTATCGTTTAATAATACCAATTGCTAATAGATAGTAGTTTACCGCAAATTATCTAGAAGAAAATTTAAATTATGTACATGCAATACGTATCTTTGAGTTTTTCTTTTTTACATAGTTTATTTCAATATCGATCGGTTGAAAATTAAGCTAGTTACGTTAACCTTTAAAGTCATTGAATTTAATAGTAATCTGATTTTCGACAATGGCTGGCATTGCATTGTTTATATAATATATTTAGTTTAAACCCATATTACCATTTCGTTGAACGAGCCCAATAACTATTAATGGGAGATACAATGTAAAGAATTCCTGGGCAAAGATCGGCAACATATCTCGTGCTGATCGACAAAACAGTCCAGAATGTTCAAGTCTTCCGTTAGATTCACCCATACTATAGTATTTCAAAACTATACATATGGTTGAAAAACTTACAAAAATTACAGCAATTATATTGTTTACACTATTAAATTCCTCCCTGTTGACTACAAAAAGTAAAGTTAACGTCCATGCAGTGCATAATAGATTGGGGATATAAAAGTCCGTACATTTGGCAGGGTCTTTTCTCAACAGGCAAAACAGAATATATCCATAATACAGGGTGTAATGAATTCCCGCCACGGACACCGAAATCCACGGTGCCGAGTGGACGTGTCTACTGGCAACCACCGTCAACAGGTACAGCTGAGTGGCAAAGATGGAACAAATCACGCACAACTGTATAAAAGCCATCAAGAAAAGACAATCTGGAAAATGTTCCATCTCTAAATCCGTTATATTTGTTGCGGAGTCCAACAAACGTAACAAGTACTTAACTATTACGGAAATGTCATTGAAGCCACTGTCGTAAACAACTGCAAATTTTAAATGGAAATCTGTAATTAGGGGTAACACGTACTCGTTGGTGCAATGGGTAATTTTGCTGTTTAATAATGCCTGTAAACGTTATCGAGGAAGTACATGTCGCATTTCTTTTTAAATTTTGAATCCGTTTTGAATTCCGTTAAAATGCTTCCCTGTTGCTCACTTCCCTTTTAATACGACTATATAAAGTGGTATGTATAAAGTGGATGTTATAATACAATTATTGTATTTACATTTTACACTTATAAAGAATAGGTCATATACTGACCTCCTTTACAACAGAATACTAGTACTTGTATATATTTATACATGTGTACCGGTATATCAACATCTTTAATTTAAATGCTTTAAATTCCCAGATCGAAAATTACAACTTTATTTAACAAATCCCGGACATTTTTTTTTCAAATAAAGAAATTTGATAAGAGATATTCTTTCTTAAAATATGAAATCCCCAAAATAGTAAAGGGGGAAATTCGGGGATTTCAGACAGACACACAGACAGATGGACGGTAGAATCTTGTGGTTGATATACTATACTGTTGTTTGAGACTAAAAATAATCTTACATATGTACTTGTATTACAAATTAACAGCGCATTAACGTAAATTGGAAGTCAGTCCGGTAAAAATACAACCATGTCATCTTTCGATGTTTCTTAAACGTTGACGGCTTTTGTCTTGAATCTTGTCACTATTTAGGGTACTAGACGTGACGGACAATATATACATGGTTATTCGCCAAATAAATTAAATTAAACGGAAATACCTTTAATATGAGATCGTAATAAATTTATTTTATATTAACCCCTATCTCTGGCGGATTTAATTCAATGGATATTTTTTTTCATATACCCTATGTCTTTCTTTTCCGAAGCCACTTTCATGAAAGTAAAAAAAAAACCAAGCTGGCTTATAAAGGAGCACAATCACTACACATTGAAATTCTAACAGTTAGATTGCTACAAACGCTACGTTGATATTGTCATTGAAGAACTCAAGCTTATTTCGTATGTCAACTGTGATTTTTATGCTCCAGTATTCGAAAATTTGGGGTTTTATATTTTTTCCCCGTCTGTCCGTATGTCTGTCTGTCCGCAAAAACTTTAACTTTGCTCATAAATTTTGGATGGAGTTTAACAGACTTTTACAAAAATTACCACACTTTAACGTTTGTCATAACTCTTGAACAGTTGGTTCTAGGGCTTTCATACTCCACATACTTATTCATTGTGACAACGCTTACCAATGGGTTTAATTAGTTTTTACCTCTTGACCTTGACCTAAGAGTTTGACCCACTTAAAAAAATTAACCTTGGCCATAACTTTTGAACAGTTAGCACTAAGGCTATTATATTATATTTACAAGTGCACTCCTTGTAACAATCCTCCTTTTGGATATTAACAATTTTGACCTTTTGAGGTTGACCTTTGGAGTTTGACTTGCATTTGAGAAAGTTCCACCCTCGCCATAAACTGTCATGCATACGGGGGCATCAGTGTTCACAAACACATTTTCTTGCAGGTAAATAATCAAAAGGTATGAAAATTTACGAATCCATTTTTATTGATCAAGTTGATTGGCAGTATTGCGTTCTACCAGAGGATAATATTTTGATATCACGGCGTTCT